CTTTCTTTCTTTCTTTCTTTCTTTCTTTCTTTCTTTCTTTCTTTCTTCCTTCCTTCCTTCCTTCCTTCCTTCCTTCCTTCCTTTCTTTCTTTTTCTTTTCTTTTTTTCTCTTTCCTTCCTTCCTTTTTCTATCTCTCTTCCTTTTCCTTCCTTCCTTCCTTGCTCCCTCACTCCCTCTCTTATTTCTCTTTTAATGAAGGGAGTGGTTCCTTCCCCCCCCCCCCACCCACTGATTACTTTTTTCCCCCTTCTCATATTATATCTGTATTTCCAGTACATCCCAAGTAAAACCAACCTAAGTTGCATTCTTACTCTCGAAGACTGCTTGACATATGCAGCTCCACCTTGTACTGTTGCCACTGATTTTTTTAAAAATGCACATATCTATCAGGAAAGGCTAGCTTAAATGAAAATAGTTTTTAAAAGTATTTTAGCAATGTTCCTTGACAGGAGAATATTAACTTTGACTAAGGATCCCATTGTGAATGACCAAATTGTATGGTCATTTGAAAAATTCAAGAAAGCTGCCCACAAGGTATGTTGGATTGATAGGAAACACTTTAATTGATTTTTGGGGGGGTGCTTTTTAATTAATTATATGTGCTGTTTGAACTTAGAAGTAGTGGGAAATCGGTATGGGGACTGAAGTCATGGAGTCTTGAAACATAACTTCAAACCCAAATCAAAGAGAACTGTTTCCTTAAAACAAACAGGATTTGCCAATATCTGATTAGGGGAAACCAGAAAGAAAAATTTTTCCCTACTAAACACTCAGAAAGAAATTTACAGATGAGTAACCATTTTACAAAAGCTAACTTCAGGGAAAATCCTTCAATACCTTGAAAAATATTAACGTGATATTTCTGTGAATTTCTGCATCTCTTCCTTGGATTCCAAGAGCTGGATTCTAACATGCTGGCCCATATCCACACCCATGTTTGCAATTCTTTACTCACCAATGCAGCCAGTGCCATCTGCGGTTGTGGCATATCCAGAGGGACATTTGCAAAAGTAGCTGCTGATAGTGTTAGAACATTCTCCCCCTTCGCAGATGCCAAGAATGGTGCTGCATTCATCGATATCTATGGATTTAGAAACAAGGATGACTTGAATAGAACAGAACAAGGCAGAGGACAAGGGACAGGACAGGATAGGATAGGATGGATGGGGTAGGGTAGGGTAGAACAGAGAATAGAGGAAAGGAGATGAGAAGAGTTGGAAGAGGAGAGGAGAGGAGGGACACATAGAAATAATAGAAATAATAGAATGTAGAAGTAGAAGTAAAAATATTGACCAAGTGTCAGCATTCACACACACAAAGAATTTGTCTCCAGTGCCAAAACTCTCAGTGTACGTGCAAAACAGTTTTAGCCAGATTAACTGAAAACAAAGACATCACTGAAAAAATGTAATGCCTCTTGTGTTAACAATACTCTACCAAAGCTGTCCCAGTGAAGATCACTCATCACACCAGGATGGATGGATGGATGGACAGATGGACAGATGGATGGATGGATAGATGGATGGATGGATAGATGGATAGATGGATAGATGGATAGATGGATGGATGGTGAGTGGACAAACATCTGTTTCTAGGAATGAAGTAACCAAAGGGGTGGACCTATCATTGTAGATTTCAAGGCCCTGCAAATAACATATAAGTTAAACCACCAAATATAATTTGAATGGCCTTAATACTCTTGGTGTTTTGTTGCTAAGGTTCGGAAAGTCATTAGACTTACTTAATAGCTTTTGCATCAGTGAATCCAGAGCACTTGAAATGAAAACAATGGTATTTATATTAATGTCAACACTAATATAAACAGTGATACATTGTTTGGGTTAGACTCGGCCCTACGATGAAATCTGGAGATTTTGCTTTCAGTAAAGCCAGATTTTCTATAAACAGAAGCACTACTAGCTTAAAGATAAAATACTTGAAACTAATCAATTCACAGCTATAGACATTCCCCCTCTCTGTTATTCAGAATTCTTGTCAATATCCTTAACAAGCATTCCATGTTCTACTATTTTATTCTTAGTTTTGAAAATCTTTATGATCTATCATTGCAAAAGTCCTTCGCATACACATTCAGGAAGAAAATATCCAATGGCTTTTAGTGACATTTTGCGGAAGCACACAAAAAGCCTCATAGTTTTGCTGATTATCCCTCTCAAATATTAATAGGCTGCCAAAATCAGGATCTGTAACAGAGTTGCACGTCACTAAGGATTGTTAATCAAAACTTAATGGGTGACTAATAGGGAAAGATTTTGATAAACATCACGAATTCTTTGGAACATTTTGGATTTACCAGCAAGAAAGATCTTCCCATCAAGATCACTTAGTCTTTGGCTACCATAAGCAATGGACAGAAATGTAGTTTGGATTTTAGAACATGCCCTCAAATGTTAGTCTTTCTCGAGAGAAGCTAGATTGTACTACAGAGGCTACTTCAGGCATTACAACCTAGTTGATCCACTTGACTTCTAGCTGAAAGTCCTCCAACTTGACTTCCTTCTGATGCGTTGAGGCTACAAGAATTCTCAGTCTGTATGGCCAACAGTTGGATATTCTTCTCAACACATCTCCCCCATTCAGAAAGACTATCTTGTCCTTTGGTGCCTTCTAGAATATTTTGAGCACAACTCCAACAACTCCTTGCTCCTGGCTATGCTTTGACAAAAAGTAAACCAAAGAAATGGAGAGCTTTGAAGTGTCTATATGCCTTTTCTGTGGCTTAAGCCATAAAGTAGCTCTTGCCACACATAATTCTAAAATCTTTACAATGATGTTTTTTTCTATCAAAAGGTAGTCATCTTCCAAAGCTAGTCAGATGGCTTAAACCGAAGTAAGTCTCCAGGGTTTATTAATCTTCAAAGAGTTGAGGTAACCTTGAATAGGAAAAGGTGAGTATTGAAATCAAGAGTTGTGTGTTTATCTTTGATGTTAAAATTGGAACACACTTGAAGTGGCAATTCGATGATAGGACGACACAGTTCTGGTCTTTGCATTCAGGGAAGTGGTAGGTCTAATGTGATCCTGCTGTGAAGGGTAGCATGGCCATCAACCGCGGACTGAAAATGCAATTCTCTCAAATTATTTCCCCTTTTAATAGTGGGCAGTGTTTTTTTTTTTTTGTCATTGTTTCTGCAGTGCAACTTTCAAAAAATAAGGACATCTGTTCTGCTGTAGTATAATCACATCAAGTAAAAATCGCCCACTCTTAACACCAAAGTCCCTTGAACTCAGGTTGCCTTTTGAGTTTTCGCTGAACACTTTTTAAAAGTTGTTTCAGAAGGTCTAACGTTCTCAATTTGCACTTCTATCTGCTAAACAATTTAGGAAGGGCACACACAGGAAGCAGGGGTGGGATTCAAAAATCCTGGCAACCGGTTCTCTGCCCAGTTGCTGGGTGGGCGTGGCCATGGTGGGCGTAGCCTTCTGGAACTTCTGGGAAGGCCATTTTCCATCTTCCCTAGAGGCCGGAGGGCCTCTGGGAGGGGGAAAACAGCCTCCCCCGAGCTCTGGAAGGGCTCTGGAAGTCGGAAACAGGCCCGTTTCTGGAGTTCTGGAACTTCTGGTTTGGCCACTTTTCACCTTCCCCAGAGTCTGGAGGCTTCCCTTGGGCCTCTGGGAGGGTGAAAATGGCCTCCCCCGGGCTCCGGAGGGCCTCACAGCCTCCACATGGACCCTGCACTTACCTGCATCAGAAATGGGCCATGTGAAGACTCCTGGGAGGGAAAGGGTGGGTGGGGCCAGCTGGTCGGTTCAACTACCGGTTCAGTGAACCAGGTGTAAATTTAACACCCAGTTCACTTGAACCGGGGCAAACCGGCTGAATCTCCCCTCTGACGGGAAGGGAATATTTTACCTTACTGAATTATCTTTGATTGTTGTTCAACATACTCCTAGGAGTTTTCAAACAGGACATCCATTCATTCCAACTTTAAGTTCTCTTGGTACATGCTGTGCCTCTTAAAGTTTAATTGGTTATTCCTTATATTATCCAGCCTACAAGAACTTAAATACAGCTGCAGAAGCATTTGCTCAGTTTGGGTTCTACAAGACTATTGCTCTGGAAATATGATTGCGTCAGTTCAAAATTCCAGCAACCACCTGCATTTTGGATGTCCTGCTTTGCAAACCCACTGAAACAAGAATTCAAGCCGAATTCATTCAATGGGAATTGTTTTAGTTAATTCCACGTAATCTCGTGGAGTTAAGTTTCTGAAATGGACTGCTACTGAGTTTCTCTCTGAAAAGAAACACTTCAGTGATGTTTGAGAAGTTAAGACGTTCCTACGCCTTGGCTGCCCTTTGGCCAAAATCGCTGGCAGACAGCATGAAAACTCTATTTGTCTGGATCAAATTCTTTACAAATTGGTTTACATAAGACAAAATAAAAATGACAAAGTAGTTGTTGTGTAAAGATTATTATTTTAGCTAACATTTAAAAATAAGTCCTATGTTATAAGGCAGCCAGTCTGAAGACTCTTAGGCATTACATTCAGGACAATTTGTGTTACTACTTTAAAAAGATGTATTTTTATATATCTGCTTTGTGTTTCACTGCAATGAACAGTTCGCTTAAGGATAACATCTAAATAACTCCACTGATAGCCATAGTTACACTATTTAATGCTAAGTAAGCTAAGAATCAAATTCCTGGGAAATAGTGGGACCATGAGTAGCTACCAAAATTTCAGAGCAGCAAAGCTTGGTAGAAATGTAACATCCGTATTTAAGAATCAAAGAAATGCAACAGTTTTTAAGTTCTATGAAATGGAACATCTGAATGCATGCACTTTGCCATGAATAAATACGTTTTTGCCAACTGATAAGAGAAAACATACGGAATGTGACATTTTCTATCTTTCCATAGGGAAGCTTTGAAAGACTTACCATCACATTTCTGTGTCACTTCATTAAACTTGTGTCCAGCTGGGCATTTGCACTCAAAAGATCCAACTGTATTAATGCAATTTCCTCCTTGACAAATCCCAGGGATAGCTTGGCATTCATCCACATCTATCATGCAAAACAAAAAGAACACCAACGTTAATTTGCCCATCAAGATACAAAGGCACATTCATTGCTTCTGTATCCTGTACTAGATTTCTTCCTCGGGAGAGATTTGTGAATTATTAACATTATGGCTGTGCTTTTTTTTTTTTCCCAGAAAAGATTCAGAAGTGGCCATGTTTTTATATGGATGTCTGAAAAATGACATGGCTGCTTTAATGAGGTGCTATAGATTTTGATATAGCTCTTCTAAACCATTTTTAGCCCTATAAATTACTTTCTCAAGGAGAAAAAATATGTACATTTACATTTGTTCTACTGAAGAATATCACTTGACATTTTAATGAGGGTTCTGTTTTATTCTTGGAGAAAGCCAACCTTCTGCATTTATCAGCAATCTTCAGGCACATCCAATATCTCTGCCTCATTAGACTTATTTTTTTGAGATTATATTTAAAGTAAAATTACACAGAGACCTGGAGTGCTGCAAAGCAAATAATTACTAGAAAGTACTCCATATTTTTAGATCCTGTAATAACAAAACAGAGAGTGTCTACAGCCCAGTGATTTATTAGATCAGAAAGAAAACTATATATATAGCAATAGCACTTAAACTTATATACCGCTTTGTAATGTTTTATAGCTCTCTCTAAGCGGTTTACAGAATCAGCATTTTGCCCCCAACAATCTGGCTCCTCGTTTTACTGACTTCAGAAGGATGGGAGGCCAAGTCAACCTTGAGAGTCAAAGTGCCAAACTGCAGGCAGCCAGCAGTCAGCAGAAATAGCCTGCAATACTGCATTCTAACAACTGCGCCACAACTCTTAACTATTATATTGAAATAGTTGCACCTAAAAAAGCTGAAGTTGATGCTAGAAGCAATTTCATCAGTTTTCCCTCGGGCCAATGGACATTTTAGGACTGTCCACATTTGCTATGGCAACCATGACACACTCTCAAAATATCCAATGTGCCCATTGGTTTAAAAATGCCCTGCCACTGTCTAAACCAGTGATGGCGAACCTTTTTGTTGTGATGTGCCAAAAGCGTCACACATGCAATAGTGTGTGTGTGTGTGTGTGAGTGCCAGCACCTACAATGAAATGCCCCCTGCCCCCTGCAGATGTGCATGCAACCTCCATGCCCCCTTACCTGCACTGGGCATGCGTGCTCTTCCCAGCTGATTTTCGGCTAGTTTGAGGCCGTTTTCGCCCTCCCGGAGGCTTGAGGGAAGCTTCTGCAGCCTCGGAAGGCCAAAAAAACGGGCCCGTTTTTGCACTTCTGTTTTCAGCATGTCTGGTTTTGGTACTTCCGGTATTTCCAGAAATACCGGAAGTGCCGAAACAGGCCCGTTTTTCGGTCTCCAAAGGCTGCAGAGGCTTCTATCGAGCCTCCGGGAGGGCAAAAAAGACCTCAAATGGGCCAAAAATCAGCTGGGAGGCACGCACATGCGCAGTGCAGGTAAGTTTGGCTGGGGCTTGCAAGCCCACACAAATGGCTCTGTGTGCCACCTGCGGCAGGGGTCCCCAACCACCGGTCCGCAGACCGGTACCGGTCCGTGGAACAAGTCCTACCGGGCCGCTGGTTGCTGGGCGCTGCCATCTTTTTTTGATGAAAAAGTGCTTCCGGTGAGCTTT